CTGTAGAAGTGGCTAACCGTGTGTTCTTGCGAACGCACCGGTGCGCAAGAGCAGCCCCGAGAAGGCTGCCTCCAGGGGATATTTTTATCTCCAAAATCTAGATCAGGAGATCCGCAGTATAGGCTGGATCTAGTGTATCGAAATTTTTTTTTAGCGTCTTAGTGCTGAGCTTACACAAGCTTAATAATACTTCCTATGGCTTTCCATGTTAAGCGTTTCCACTGCTGTCATTGTTGAATTCATGCAGCGTTTCCAAATGTGGAGTACTGGCCCATTACATCATGGCAAACTTTTAAATACATGAATAGGCTGGTAGCAGTGACTCTGGTAGTTCGACTGTCTCAACTGCGAAATTTTTAACTTACCAAAACTAATTTGAACAATATCTGGAGAAGGTCTTCAACAGACTCATATGAGCTATGATATAATTTTAATTCTCACAAATTTTAATAATGTACCAGGGCAACTATGAGATAATTTTGTACCCTCATTGCTTAATGCTGCAGCGGTATTTTTAAAAACAGTTTAGGATCCCATATTCTTCCTTTTTTTTTTTTTTTTTCTTTATTTTATATTGATAATGGGCTTTACAAAGTGTAATTGTATCATCCGGCTACTGAAAGGAATTTGCTTCAATATTCCTTCAAGTCCTAGTACCTGCTGGGTTTTGGAGTAGCATCGATACCATTCTGTCTTTTCCTAGGCTTTTATGCTTACGTCTACTATTATCTGTGAAAAAGATGTGCAACAAAAACATGGAAAAAGATTATTTTTATCAAACTTGCTGAAGCAGATCAAATAGAAAAACCAGAAGTTCTCACTTTCACCATTGCTACAGAGATACAGATATTCGCAATCTGCAGGCTCGGGAAAACACCAGTTTTATCAAGTAATAAGATAATTGTACAGGATATAAACAGTTCTTTTTGAAGGGATGTATTGTATTCTACAGAGCTTGCTGTTTTTTTCTGCCACCTCATTTGAGAGGAACTCTTCTGTACTCTGTGTTGTTACATTTTATTTTTCAGTTTGTTTCATGTCCTTGTCCTGCAGTTGAAATGATGTTGTAACGTATTTAAAGATGCTTAGAAATCAGAGGGAATTCAAGCACATCTGAAACAAAGAACTGCTACAGAAACTACTTGAAACTGGTGTATTTTCATTATTTTCAATAAAACAATTTAATTTTGCTACATCTTCACAAACTCTGAAGTTGCTAGTTTGTGAATGCACCTTAAAATTTGGAAAGGATGATGAGGAAAAAGGATTTGCATTATTATGATGTGTATACATTTATTTATGTTTTTATTCTTCTGCCAGTGTAAATGTTTAAAGTATTTCTGTGCCTTACTGTAGTTATTACACATTTTCTGATATTGAAAAGTGTTATTCATTAGGAATAGTCAAATTAGTATCAAAACCGGTAAGATAATAGTCCTCTCCAGTCAAAATCCTATGAGAATGTGAAATATTCCTGGTAAAAATAGCTCCAATTAATTGATTCCACTAAATTTGGTTGATATGGCTTGCTACCCAGTGAAGGTGAGAGATTACAGGGAAGATATTCTTCTGAATTACCATCTGTTAACAGTTTCTGATAATTTAATGAACTATTTTTTGTCAAAGCCTCAATTTAGCAGATTTTTACTTAATAGTTAAACAAGGCTTTAGGTTTTTAGTCTTTGCTTACAGTGATACCTAACTCCTCATGTGGATGTGGATAGTTTTATTATATTACTAACATGTTGAGTGGCAACGTAGCCATGGGAAGTAACATAGTTACTTAAGTTCCATGAACCAATTGCATGTGAAAATAGATGGTTATGTTTGTGTAACTGCCCAGCGGTGATTTAAATTGCAATAATTTTTAGCATTTTTTTTTGTTTGACTAAGTAATACGTGCTGTAAGCTCTGTCTCTCTCCCTACCTTTTCCCCCTAAATTTGATGCCTTCCATTTTCCAGTAAGTGGTGCTGGGATTTTGAGGTGGTTCTTTATTTTGTTTTGTTTTAATCTAGTCTTCTCTAAGATTCATAGATGAAAGATCTGTATAGGTACAGAACCACCAAAAAAATAGAGACAGGCCTTGGAAGTGAGGGTCATAACTTAAACATAGAATGTTAACACAGAATAGAGCAACTGTCAGGAAATGTATTTCTAAAATAGTGATTTTCCTAATATGTGTAAGAGCTGTTGCAGTGACCCTTAACTGAACTGTCTGGTTTCTTGTCCAAGCCATGTTCTCAAGCATAAGGAATATTAGTTTATAATCTTGCAGATTATTCTATATTAATAGTTTACATTCTTTAAAATGGCATTTTAATGACAGTTCCCAAATTGCAAGCTGAATAAATTTGACAGAATCCTTCCATTCGTTTGAAAACTGAGAGGAGCAGAACCTGACAGTGAAAAGTGACAAATTCATAGAGCAGTCAAATTTTCTGCCTATTTGCTTTTTGATTAGAGGCTTGTTGTTGTTTTAGAAACAAGCCTATAGACCTGGGACTTATCCATGAAAGGTTTGGCTTTGGTCAGGAGTTATTCAAGAAATTTGGGAGCCCTTCTTTTGCATCTTGCAAAACAGTAGAAGAACCTACCCCCAAAAGATGGCTATAAATCTTTCTTATTCAAGAATGTTTCCCTCTTATGTAATTCAGCAGGTCTTTTTAAGGTTGGAGAATGCTATGTTTCTACATCTTTTTTTGGCTCAAGCAAGACTAGATTTGCAACAGAGAAGAATACGTGAGAATCTGAAAATATCAGAGTTCACAAAGGTCATTTAGAAACAATAGTATTGGAATCTTTCCAGCGGCAGATACTGTATGAAAAAAACCCCCACAACACAACCACCCTATTGTTGCAGTGACACAATGGGAAATGATTGGGTAAAAGACATTTTTTTAAAGAGTCTTGAAGCAACAGGTATTGGAGCTGTATTACTCCTCTGCTCCTACAGTCCACCAAAAAGTTCATCTCAGAAAATTTTAAGTTTTTTTTCAAGTCACTTTACTTTCTCATGCCCTTTTGTTACAACTTCTCTGTTAACCTCTGAAGCGTAGGTAGACTGTTGCTCTAGAGTGTAGTACTGCTGTAGTAGCCCAGTGGAGAGAAGATGAAGTTGGGAGCAACAAAGGGAAACAAGAAAGCTGCTCTAACTCTACCTACTTGGATGTTTTTTCGTGATGGCTCTTGTGTACTTTAGTCACTCTTGTGACTTTTTCTTCCTTGACTTTCAGTCCCCAAGTGGTTCCACATACCTATGCAAGAACATGGGCTTCTTTGCTGGGGGGCTGTACACTGGAAACAACATAAGAGCCATCATCTTTCATGACTGAGTAAAATGGCTTACCCAATGCTTACAGCGTAATCTTTTTTCAAAGGCGTAATTTCTACATACCTTAAACCCTTTTTCGAATCTGTGCGGTAAGCATGGTGAAGTGTAAATATCATGCAAAATGTGTTTGTGACTTTTGACTTAAGTTTAGAGATATGTTTGCCTCTCCATAGTACTGGAGGGAAAAAAAAAACCAAAACCAACAACACAGGAGTACTTGCCTAAGAATTTTTTTAAATACTGCCCAAAATATTTCCAGTCAATCAAATTTTGCCTGATAGCACTGTTATCTTCCTGGTCTACAGAAATAAGATGTACATACTCGCACTCCCTGACAGTTCTCCTAAAAGCCAATTTCAGCCAAACTTGACATAGCTATAAAGGTTGTTTAGGTTTTTGGTGAAAGTGTAGAGTAGAGAGATAGGGAGAGCATGGTGGCAGTAATATGAGCACTTAAAAAAGCCATCATGAGTGATGATGAGCTGTTAGACTGTCTTTTCTAATCAGTCTCCATATATTTAAAAACTGTTGTTTCCTTAAAAACCAGATATCATTTTTCTTCTTCAACTGAATTGCAGAATCCTCTAAAATTAAAAAAAGAAATTATCTACCTGTGATTTTTAGAAGTGTATGTGAATTGCTCTTAAGTGTTTTTTCTTGAATATATCTCCATTTCTGAACATGTATACCATACAATATTGACCAGTGGACTTTTAAGTAGGACACGGAATAGAGGAAAAATAGGCATACCTAAATATTATACACTACTTTGTTTTGCAGCCTATGGATGGTCATGCCATGATCGTGTTTCTGAGTTTTAAGATGGTATTCCTATATATAGTCCAGTACATAACACTGCTAACTCACTGTCTCTCTTGTGTATGTACCCCTGAGTGAGTGATATGCTGCACCTTCTCTTTTTCAGATCTGCACTATGTGGGAGAAGTCTTCTCGTTACAGTTAATACTGACTTGGTCATGGCATTGTTATATGCAATTATTTTTTTTTTCAAAATTAAGACGATTTTTTATAGATAATTTCACAGCTCTTGTATAGCTTTGAGGAAATGATCATTACAGCCATTAGAGTAGTCAATAGCTACAATACTGACTAGGTAGACATTTACTGGTGGGCATGTATGTCTCTCACTTGCTCAAAACTGGTTAAAAATGTGGAGGAGTTCAAAACTGAGTCATAACTTGGCACTGCAGAAGAAGCTTCCTCCCCCACCCTTCTCACTCTTAATTCCTGTCCTGCCAAAAACACTACAACAATAGAAGCCTGCAGGGAAGGTAGGATGGGGAGTCTTTATTCAGAAGTTTACTTAGTATAACATAAGTTGAAACTCTTGAAATATACATGTAAGTTCAGTTTGAGCATAAATAGTTTCATTTAGTAAATGAGCATCAGGAGGCTATGCTGACTCCACTAAGGATGCAGTTAAGTTACTTCTACAGTACAGAGCATTTGAAAATAGTACTGTTGGTGTAAGGAGTTTCATTCCTGCCCATGCCTATATAGTATGCTGCTTCTGCAGCTGTGCCATAGAACTGTTTGTGGTGAGATGCTGTCAAGCATATTTATTACAAATGTGTCCGTATTTAAGAGTCACTCCACCCCTCCTTCTCCCAAGTACTAAAATTCTAGATTGGTTCATAGTGAACCCCATGAAAAATAGAACTGGCACAACTGAAGGAGCAGTGTGCTCAGGTGTAGGGCCTGGGATGAGCAGGCAGAGCGAGAACTTCTTAAGCTGGTACTGCTGAATTTTGGGTGTTGCGAAAACTATCACCTCAGGCTCTAATATGGCTCCATTAATACAAATAAGGATTGTTGCAAAAACCACAATAAATGCCTCAAAATAAATGTTACTTCCAAAGTTGAGGCCATATGAAACTGCTTTGAAACTGGAAACTGAAGAACAAGGAGCAGAAAGGAAAAGAAAAATGGATTATGATTAAAATGGAGAAGGCAAGAGAAAAATCAACTTCTGTTGTGTTTCTTGAGGTTTAAAATATCTTCTTCTGAATAAGAATGAAATTGTGTAAGTGCAGGTGTAACTAAACGCAGCTAACATTGGCTAATTGACTAGCTACATCTTGTCTGCTTTTTGCAGTGGCTTGATTCAGCCTTTCCAATTTCAAATGTTAGATCATTTAAATTGATAGCTTTTCTGGCATAATAATGAAGTAATCTGATGCTGAATAGGGATTACCCCCACTCACAGGGAAATCTGCCTGTCCAAGTTAATGCACAGAGTTAACAGCGCATAAAAATTTATTGTTTTATAATATGTTTGGATTATTCTTGCATTAGGATGAAATTACAGTGTTCTCATAATAGGATAAAGTTTATACTTCTGATTCTTGAGCGTGGATTTGGGGAATAAAAGGAGCATTGAGCGAAATGTCAAGCAAAAATCATGATATTTAGGATTACAAAGAGAAATTGGTATTGGATGCTTTTGAATGCTTGTTTTTTACAGCTTTATTAAAATAATTTAGAGAAGAGGAAAATAATTAGAAAATGATTAGCTCACTTCTACATAGAAAGTGTGGGGATTTTTGTTTTCTTTTTGTTTTTAAGGCTTTATGCATAAGACTAACAGTGATGATTGTATTTCCAGGCTATTTCTCAATGTGGTGCGTGTTTGTGTTGCTCTGACTGAATTTGAAATCATCAAGGTGGTTTTCTGGTTCTTTGTGTGCTTCATTTACACAAACTACTGTCCTGCCATAGAGCACCAATAACTATCCATATTATTTATGATTGTCCTACTTTTGCTCTAGGTTTTCAGTCAAGACTCTGATCGACCGTTCCTGTTTTGAGACTATAGATGATACTTCCCCTGAATTTAATAATTTTGCAGCCATTCTGGAACAGATTCTAAGTCATCGACTGAAAGGTATGTTAATTAACTTCCTTACTGGTGATGTGTTTGCCATGAGAGTTTGTTGATGCTGAATGAAAATGTTGGCTTGCTTTGTGCGGCTGTCCCTTTGCTGTTGCCTTCCTGATTGTTTGCATTACTGTGGGAAAGTCAAGAAAATGTTTTTTTGTGAAACATATTTCCAATATTCTTGTTGGAAGCCTTCTTGGCTGGTAATTAAGCAAGTGGATGTTGCCATGGTGCTGAGCTCTGTCTGCTTTTCTGCTTTATGATAAGGCTGTGTCCTAAGAGTCTGAGTCTGAAAGTCAGACAACTGTAGTGTTTTCTGCTTTAACAGAAGCTATAGAGAGCATATCCATGGTGCTGCTCCTTTTTCTTTCTCCCTTCCCTGCTGTTACTGCCTTCTTTCTAGATACTTTGTTTAGGTCCTTTCATTTCTGTCCCCCCACCTCCCTGGTGAAGCTGGTTTTTGCTACTGGAATATAATGGGTCTGGATTAAATTGCTTTTGAGAAAGGTCAGTTGATGATTCTCCTCTTGTGTCGGAGTCAGATGTTCTAATTCCAGAAAATGTCTGTTTGCATTTTCTGATTGTTCTAGAGGAAGCTACTTTGCTAAAAGAACAGAGTGTGCCTTAGCAGTAACAGTCACTAGAAAAGGACTTTGGAAGCTTCTCCTCATTTCTCAGTTCTGTGTAGAGTTTCTGGAATTATTTGAGGATTATGAAGGACATCACAGTCATCTAAATAGAGATGTGTAATGTGACAATCTACTCCTTTTCATACTTTTGCTTTTTAATATTCATAACTAAGCTTTGTGAACAATATTGTGTGTAGGCTGACATTTGAGTAGCACAATTACTACCTGCTGTCATTCTGTCAGAGAAGGAAAAAAATAATCACACAGTGGGGTGGGAACATAGTGTTTGTCACATTGTGACAAAGATTATTGGAGTGATTATGGGTACTTAGCAACTTGACACTGCAGGGAAATTGCTCTGTTTTCTCCTTCTCCCCCAGCTTCAGTGATGTTTGAGCAAAAATCATTATGAATTTGGGGTTTTTTCCCCCAACATTCTTTTGCTTCACAGTCTATTATTCAGGACAGGCAGTACACAGAAGAAGCCTTAACAGGCTGGCAAATGGAATTTGCAAGTAAAAAATTATTTCAAATAAGAAAGAGAAAATAAAAAATCTAAATTGTTGTTTTAGTCGTCCCCTTGTAATTATCAGTATGATTTTTGAAGTTCGCGGAGTTAAATGAAAGTATGGGAAAAGGCAGCAACTTGTGCATCATATTGCAAACAGGGGAATATTTTGGTAATAAACAGATCACTAAGAGTAATTATTTAATTCTTTAAGAACTTGAAAAGGAAATTGAGATAATAAATGTACCATGACAATTCAAATTTTAAGAGGCTATATATTATACAACACAGGGCTTGAAAGCAATTGCATTTTGTTGATGGAAACAACTAAGATATTCTGAATGCATACTTCGTGTCAGTAGGAGCACACTAAAAGCAGACCGGTGATTGCAGTGGGTTGTATAAAATGTTTCAAAGCAGGCAGAACATACGTGATCTGTGTCTATGGTAAAGTAAATGGCTTCATTGTATCAAAGTTGTCAGGATAATCCCATGGCAGTGTAGGTAAACGGATCATCCAGATTTGAGAGTTTGAGTATATAGACCTTCACTTTCTTAAGACCATGGCAAATAACAATTCCTAATCTTTAACTTCCTTTGGAAGTACTGGGTGAGGAAGCAAGAATTTAAAAAAAACAAACAAACATTAATTCGCACTGTAAAGGACTAAGTTTATTTGTATTGGGATACTTTTAATGGCAACTGTCTTTTCTGACATGAAATATAATATGTTTTTAAGGAGCAAAGCATAGTCTTGACCATTGCTGCTTATTGGTTTCATGTTCAGATAGGATCCAGACAAAACAAAACGAGAGGAAGAAGGATAGCCATTTTAAGAGGAAAAAAGTTTAACCACAGGAATTAGAATTTTATGCTTTTCCTGAAAGATTGCAATTAAGAATTCTGAAATAGTTCTCCAATCCTCATCCTCCTGGCTGTTCTGGTAAAAATGCCAGTTATAGCAATATGAGCACCATTTTAAAATTGATTTTTTGATAGGTGACTGATCTGATGGTGCCAGCTCCAAATAGCAAAAGGGTCATGAAACAACATTCATAGCGGTTTGTGTAGTTTTGTTGGTTTTTTTTTCTTTTCTTTTCAGAATCATCAAAGAACTTAGTTTGGAAAGTACCTTGGAAAGTCATCCACTCCCACCTCTTGCTCAAAGCAGGGCTGCCTCAGATAGCTCACAGCATTTTCCATTTGAACGTTAAAAATCTCCATGACTTTTCTCAAACTCAGTGCAGTTTGTTACAGAATCTTATTCTGCCCCCTCACGCTGTGCTTACCTTTCCCTGATATTGGCCATGATCCTCGCCAGATCCTGCGGTGAGACAGACCAGGAAGTCACACAGGCAGAAAACTAGTGGCTTTCCCCATGGATGGACTTCTTTATCCCAGCTGCTCATTTTCTTAGGAGTGGTTTAGATGTGGGTGTTTGCTTAGTAAGAAAGTGAGATTGGCATAAATGTATCAGCTCACACAACAGAGATCTGTGAACGCTGCTTGAATGAAGGTATCTGTTCATGTGATACAGAAGACTTAGCACATATGGCACCAAAATAGTTCCAAAAAAGGTAACATAATATGCCATGATCAAAAGGCCACCTCTGTACTACCTTAGACTTACATGTACATCAATGCCAGTAAGTAGCAGTCGGGAATAGGCCACTATTGTTAGAAAATGCATTCTGGCTCACAGCCTATTTTTGAATTGCCCTGAGGAAGAGAGAGAGGGTTTGACTAAGCTGTATTAACTATCTTTTCAGGGATTGCAAGCTGTTGACTGCCTTCTGCTCTAGAAAGTGGAGACATACTTATTCCTAGACTGTGTAGTATACCTGGTACTCTATAGAAGGGCTTGGATTTATTGTGAATGCAGAGACCAAATATCGTAATCAGGAGGGTATAAAGCATGTGTTCTTCCTGACATTAAAATAAGTTGTGTGGCATGCTTGCTGGCAAGATAGGATACTACTGGACGGGACAGTTGAAGATCTTGAAAAGGTAGGAGAGAAGGAGTAACAGAAAAAAGATGAGTGACTAATTACTCGCTTTATTCTTCTCAGGAATAAGAATTTGCATGGTTTTATAATACAGCAGAGAGTAAGTGGTATTCAGAATGGATACAAAGACAATGTATTTGAAGGTCTCTGGACCAAATGAGACTCATAGTCCTGAAAGGGATTTTACAAATCTGTATACAAATGTATGTGTGTTTGATAATCTTTAAAGTAAGGTGGGTAATTTCAGGAGCCATTTCCCCGCCTCCTCTCCCCCCCCCCCCCCCTTTTTTTTTTGTTTTTAGTGGAGCTTAAGAAGTATCTTGTAGTTGTCTTGGTGGTTTCTTGTTTTCACTGCTGGCCACAGATTTTTCAGGTATATTTCCCGTAAGTGTCCTTTTTATCAGATCAGTTAAGTAAAGTTAGTGCAGAAATGGTAGGGGCATCAAAAAGTGTTTGGCAACACTACTTGGGATTTGATCACAGGTATGTCCTAGTTGATTTAAAACCTGAAGTCAATTCAAAGTGATGTATATATTGTCTTACTATATCGCGGTGTTGTATGTTTTTTTGCCTTTGTTCTATCACTTTAAATGAGTTTTAACTGAGTTAGTACCGAAGAACATTAATAACTGTTGTAGATTTTCATGGCCATAATCTCAAATATATTTCTGAAAACCTTTGCCATGTGTACGTATTTGTTGACTTACTGTTATCCTTTACAGAAAAATGTGTTTATATCCAAACTGCTAGTCAGGAAGCATGCTTAGAAATAGTTTTTGAGTATAAATTAAGTTCTGTCACTGACAATGTATATAGTGCATCTTGTTTGTGACTTCTGTAATTTTTTCACGTCATGGTTACTGTGAGTGTACTTGTCATCTATACACTTCTTTGCATTGACCACCATAACAACACACAAAACAGCATGCTGTACTGTGCTATTTTGACACTTTCACAACTTTGTGTGCCTTTTTTCCTGTACGTACATTTAGAAGGTATTATAAATACATCAAAAGCTTCTGCTAGAGTTGCCCATAGATAGATAGATAGTTGTCTCTATCTGATCTATGTTATTCCTAATTTCTAGTGACTGTGGAGTTCATTTGCTTGCTTTTCTTTTTTCTTTTAGAGAACTTACTATGAGCAGGAGGGGAAAAAAAAGCACTTACGACAACCTGCTATTTCAGAGAGTCTCTTTCTTTTTAGGCAATGAATATCAATATAATTTTTTATCAACAAAAATTCCCTGAATTCTAATAATTCAGGCATAAATAGTGGTTACAGAGGGAAAGGGTATGAATTATGTCTGCAGAAGACCATTTGTGCTTGTAGGCCTAGGTCACAGGTGAGGAAGAAGCTGCTTGTAATGCTGGTCATCCTGAGAGAAACAAGTCTGCTGGCTAGTAGTTAAGATAATGGAGATGTAATGGGAGTGGAAAGGGTAAGGTAAGGAAATAAGAGCTAAAGGCACTGCTGTCAAGAAAAGGATAAAGTCTAAGCATATAGCTGCAGTGGCCCTTTATTTGGTGCAATAATGCTATTAGCAGAATAGCTTTTGTTACTAGATTTAATATTTATACACACAAGTTGACCCTATTACTGACTTTGGCTAAAAAGAAATAGCAGGGCTTTTGCGTAATTAGTGGTTTAGCTCATTCTCCTTTTTCTTGTATGGAGAAAAATCTTAAATGAATTTATAATTGTCTTGGAAGACTGGGTTTATGAACTACTACAAATTTTGAATTTTTAATGACCCATTCTGTAGACCCAAAATAAAAAGAGTACGTATTACAGAAATTCCTCAAAGGAATAGCATGTCAGTTTATTACCAACAAGTTGTATTAAACCTTATTTTTTGCTGTGAACTAAATAAAAAAGTCTGGAAGAAAACTTGCCTGTACTTTAGGGCATCCTAGTCATTACTACTTTGCAGCTGTGGAACTTTTAGATATGAAATTGAACTGTGATTGAGTAGGAATCAAACTGTTTGATGTCTTTTTTGTGAAGAACTTCTTGGGTGTGAAAGAAGATCTGCAACAACTAGTGTTGTGGATGTTTGTGTCTAATTGTTAGACTGGAGCAGAAATGGGTTGATACAAATAGGTGTGTAGCAGTATTCAAAAATGTGGTGAAACAAAAAACTGCAATATTGTTTCTATTTGCTTTGGAGTTCTGTAAACAAGAATTGATTTAATTTGAACAATGTTCGATATCAAATGTGCAGTTTCCAAGCTTACCTAACAATTTTGTTTGGCTGACAAAAACAATAACATCATTCCTGTTTGAATAGCTGTCAGCTTCCATGTCTTCTGATGACATAAACTTCATGGCAAAAATTACATACTCTTTGTCCTTTGGACCTCCCAGGAAACTTACTCTTTCCTTAAGAAGTATTTTGACAGTAAGTTGTATACTAAAATTGGCTTTCAGGTTTATTAGGACCCTTTAAAATTTAGATATGATTTTAGAATCATAGAACAGCCCAGGTTGGAAGGTAGCTCAAAAGATCATCTGGTCGAAACATTTGTGGGAAAGGGATCCTAGAGGACTTTATCTAGCACATCTTGAAAACCTCCAGCAATGGAGACTCTACCTCATCCCTGGGGAGGTTGTTCCAGTGAATGGTTGTTCTTACTGTAAAAAAATTCTTCCTTATGTTGAGATGAAACCTCTTCCAGTGCAACTTATACCCATTGCCCTTTGTCTTCTCCATGTGGCTCCTTGTAACGAAACAGCCTCTGCCGCCCTTTAAGTACTGGAATACTGTGAAGTGTTCCCCTCTGAGCCTTCTTTTCCCTAGGGAGAAGACACCTAATGTCTTCAGTCTTTCTTCATGGGGCAGGTTCTCCAGCCCTTTGAACATTTTTATGGCCCTTCTTTGGACCCTCTCCAATCTGTCCATGTCCTCCTTGAATTGTGGGGACCAGAACTGGACACACTACTCCGGGCACAGCCTGACAGGTGCTGAGTAGTGGGACCTGTTTCATTCCTCATTCTTGAGAGTTCCCGGGGCTGTGTATGTTGAGTGCATTGAGGGCCAAAGAGAATTTCGTACGATGAAAGATTTTAAAATTATAGGGAATATATACAGCTTAATATCTAATTTAGTAGTTCTTAAAATACATTCTCACTATTCTTGGACAGTTTTTTCCAGCATCTTTCTGCATATAGAATGATTAAGGAAGTTTTTCAGATGTGTTAATTACTAGAGTGTGGGCAAGGTTTAAAGCTGCAGGGAGAAAATAGTGAAATATGGAAGTCCTTGGTTCACAAAAGATCCTGAGCCGGCTGCAAGTTTCAAGTGAATACAATTCCTACTGAAGTCTGAAATTCATCGTACCATCCCAGAGCTGGCTGAGATGTAAGCCCACTGTTATGTCAGAGTATGTTGTAATTATGGTCAGCTTGTGTTGTTGATCAGTGTAAGCCAAGTAAGTGCTTTGTGCTGGTATGTATTTCTGTTATAAAGGGTTTTTGGTTTTAACATACGTGTTTGTCAGCTGTTCATTGGTAAAGGGAATTGCTTTGAATTAGTGACATCAGAAAACTATGAAGTGAAACTGTCCATTTTTTGCAAAATATATTCTGTCCATAAAACAGTTTGAAAAAGCCACAGAAGTTATTGTATGATATACTTGCCTTTATTAGTTGGCACTGGAATTGGTGACACAAAATCATCTTCACACTTGAGTTGCATTTAATTTTGCAGGTATAATCCCCAGGACAGAAATGTTTCTGATATGGTAAAGAATATGAAAAATATCTGTAGGTTTTCATGTTGTTAAAATGCCATTGAATTCTTGTTGCTGTACGCTACTCTCGGCCTTCCCA